CAATCCTTTCTGAGCCTCGTTTCCTCACTCACGCAGGCATGGAGTTGGAAGGGCCAGTGGTTCCCATGGACTAATCTCCTCCATGACAGGCTGCATCCATCAGCTGTGAGATCCCTGAAAAGGTAGGTTCCAGGGCCTTGCTCCCAGACCCTGGGCAGCAGCCTGAAAAGTTCCCTAGGAAATGGGGGTGTGCAGCCCGGTTTCAGGTCCAAGGACTGGATTTGAAGAATACAGACTTAATACGGACAAGAACTGTTATGTAAGGGTTGGCCAGACAGCTCAGTGGACTAAAGCACCTGCTTAGGCAAGCCCTAGGGGACCAGGGTTCCATCCCCATTCTGTGCCAGCCCAACACCCAGTCCTATAATCCTAGCACTTGGGAAGCTGAAAACAGGAGGATCACTACAAGTCTGATCTGTGCAATGAAACCCTGTAAATGCTGTACTAAGTACATAAAAAAAGAACTGTTATGTTTATGATCTTGTCTATTTCCCTGTGCTTGGAGGTGGGTGACAAAAAAACAAAATCTCTTCCAGCAAAATTATGCTAGAAATTATTTGTTTCCAGCAGTTCCTCTGAGCTAACGGCAGATGGTGCTGTCATACCAGCAATGACAAGGGAAAGTGTGGGGTTACTAAGTCAGGGTTCAAAACTACCTCACCTTGCCTTCCCCAGGCTAGGCAGGAGCTGACACTCCTGGAGTCCTGAGATGGACATTTCCCCTCACTCTCCGTGGATGTTGCACACACCCTGTTGAAAAAGCCAGGCCAACTGCAGCACCACTATCCTAGAAACTGCCACTTCTCTTAACAGCCTGATGCATAAACATCACTAAAGAGATTCTTGGTACCTAAAGCTACAGGGGCTCTGGGTACCTCAAGGAGGCTAAGGCAGCCAGAAGACAGGGCCTTTGGCCCCTGGGTATTCGGCCTCCCTAATAAAGGTCATTATAACTCTCAGGGACAGAGAAACAGAGACTATATAATCCAGTCTCACTGCCTAGATGAGAAGCAGGAACCAGGCAGTGATTACTATCTAGCAAAACCCTTAAACAGGTTGCAGAGACAAAGCAGCTGTGGTGTCCAAAGGCAGCGCCACCTGCACAGGTGTACCTGGATGCTCAAAGGTGGCTGGGAAGTCCTGGGTTCTTGTTCCTGCTAGGGAGAAACAGCCACAGGGCTCCGTGTGCACAGCCCAGTCCCACTGAGCTGCTCCTATATGCCTAGACCAGGTGCACTTGCTCTCATGCCTCAAGCTAAAATCTGGGGTTTTTAGGAAGTACAAACAAGACACAACTAACATTAGGAACTAAAATTATAAGAGTTTTATGAAAGGACAGAAACATGGCAATCCTGAGTTGAACTGGCCCTTTTGGGACATTTACTGCAACCCACTCAGATCCCAGCTGAGTAACTGAAGGCCAGAAAGGAGGAAGGGCCCTGCCAAGGGATGTGGAAAGCAAGAGCAGACCAGCACTGAAGGCCAGGCTTCCTGGTTTCTTGGCATTGGCTCCACGTTGAGGGTGGACCTTCCTAAAACACAGCACTCCAAGCAGAGGTGATTCTTAAATGGAATCACATAGATTTCTATTTTGTAACCAGCAGGCACAAAAATTTCTTGAAAAATAGGAGTTCTGCGACAGTGCCCATGTGTTAGGTGCTGCAAAATGTGATCATAAATCAATATCCAAAACTGCAAGAGAGAGAGAATGACAGAGAATACTCCCAAGTCTGGCTTCCCTTCTAAGAAGCCTCATGGCAGAGAAACCACATCCAAGGCCTCCTTCTGCCCTCTCAGACCCTTTCCTTGGGCATCTAGGATAAGGGGGACACAACAGAGAGAAGTAGGGACTATTGTTGCAGCTTTTGAAAGATCCCAAAACACAACTAAACTCCTCATCTTCCCACAAGTGTCCTAAGTGTAAAACCACTGGGAGAACATTCTCTTTGCATGTTGAGCAGGGAGCTGAAGTGAGGAAGATAAGGGTGGTGAGGAACATAGATTTATTTCTAAATATGAACAATAGACTGGCTTTCAATCCCCAAGACAGGAACTTCAGAAAGTCAAGTTGGGGCTGGCCAAGTAGCTCAGTGGATTAAAGCACCTGCAAGCGGGCACAGGGGCCAGGAGTTCAATCCCCGGGCCTGCTGTGCCAGCTCCACTCCCAGGGTGCACTAAGAGGGCAACTGAGACTGGGCGTGGTGGCATACACCTGTAATCCCAGCTCTTGGGAGGCTATAAACAGGCGGATCACTGTGAGTCTGATCTAATAGTGAGACCCTGAATGACCTGTAGACCTTCCCTTCCCTAAAATACCAAAAGAAAGAAAGAAAGAAAGAAAGAAAGAAAGAAAGAAAGAAAGAAAGAAAGAAAGAAAGAAAGAAAAGAAAGCCAAGTTGGACTATATCACCTCAAGCTGGGGACAACCATCCTGGTCCTACTATCTCACAAGAATGAGACTGATCATTTGGAGATTTAAAAATCTAGTTTGACCCAGATGTGGTAGTGCATGCCTGAAATCCCAGAACCCAGGAAGCTGAGCATGATCGCCTTGAGTTTGAGGCCATCCTGAGCTACATAGTGAGTTCAAGGACAGCCTGAACTACACAGTGAGGCGCTGTCTCAAAACAAACGAACGACTCTAGTTTGGAGATAGGATCCTCACTCTGCCAGAAATTAATTCTATAACCTCAAGCAAATTGTTCAACCCCTGGTAGACTTTCAAAATCTAGTACATGTAATTAATATTTGTGTCTACCTGTCAGGGGCGTGGTAAAGATTAAATACAGAGAGAGAGACATAAAAATGATGTATTAGGACAGTGCCTAACTCACAGTAAGCCTTCACTTTCAAGAACCAGAAGGGATGACAATAAAAAGGACACTGGCTCTTCCATTCTCTAGCAAAGGAGTCCCCAGGAAAGGATCATTAGTAAGTGCTCCATTGAACTGCCAAGGTACTTGTGAGATTATACACAATAACCAAAAAAGTGAGGGAAGATAAAATAAGGTACAATGTTCAGTTGCTGGGATCAAGAACAGCTGTGAGCCAGACAGACAGACCTGTGCCGTGGGCACCTTCCCACACGATACCTGCACCACTGCGGCGGGTGCTCATGTCCGCCACGTATATCCATTCATTGGTCGCTGGGTTGTACTGCTCCACTGTGCTCAGGCACTGGCGGGAAGCCCCATCATAGCCTCCAACAGCATACAGCTTCCCTGAAAAAGACAACATGGCTGAGGGTGATGCCAGGAACATTTTCATGGAACTGGAGTTTGACTGACTATCCATCTCTAACCTACTAGGGCATCCTCACCTCAGGCAGAGTTTGGAGCCCCCTTCCTCCAGGGGACCATCAAGCTATTCCCCAAACTGAGGAAGCATCCTTCACATTCCTGTCTTTTGTCTGTTCTTAAGCTATGAGCACTGCCAAAGTAATCCTGAATCTTTCTAAATAAGAGCTCCAAATACCCACTGAAAAAGCTGTGACTGGTACCCCTGGGACACAACATATTCCTGGATGTAGGGAGGACTAGGTTAAGATATCTCTAAAGCAAGGCTCCAGCACTGGATGGACAGTAACCTACATGACTCTCAGCTATAACCAGTCAGCCAACTTCTTTGCTAAAGGCTCACAGTAACAATGGGATACATATGAGAAAAGTTCTTCAGTGAGAAGCCAAATACTGTCTTAGCTATTGTTTCCCATTCCTTCCCTAACTCTGGTGGCTATAATGTGTGAATGGGGTATTCCGAATACAAGAGGCTGAGATATCCAATACTATTCTTCAGGGCATCTAAGGTTGCTGAGCAATGAACAGTTACCCTGAAGTATCATCGTCTACTTCAAAATAAAAATAGCAGTAAACAGCTATCTAAGAGCATCATTTCCATTTGTGGTTGGGGACAGGGAAAGAGGTCAAACAAGGATGCAGAAAATTGGTGCTGTGTTTGACATGTTTGAGAGCAGAGATGCAAACATTTGGGGTTTAACATTTAATCCTAGAATATAATGGGACAGTTCCTCTATAGCAGGCAGAGAGAGAAATCCTACTGCACTTGTAGGTCTCAGATCTACAAGGGATCATGAATTATCACAAGGATCCTGTACTCTAGCTACAGGCTAAATATATACCACCAAATGCAAATCCACTTAACAAGATTTTTTAATCAATAGTTTTTTGGATATTATTTACATTCCTAATTCCAAAAGCACAATTAGAATGTGAAAATGGTGTGGTTATTTTAAGTTAAAAAGATTCTTAGACTCAAAACTGTGCTCTATCAACAGGGCTACTAATATTGCAAATGTAATACTATTTCTTTTATTATCACTGAGGCTGGTTGTGTTTTCTTCCCCCAAGACCTCTCCAGTGACCCTTTTGGAAGAAAGAGACACCTCCCCTGCAGTCTGCCCTCCCCAGCGTGAAAGCTCAAACAAAGCTGAGCATTTTTTCCAGGGTCCAGGCCACTTTCCCTGTCTGCTGCTCCACAGGACTCTCTCTGAGGCATACACTCTGGCTCTGCTGAGAGTTTCTGCTCAGATTCCAATTCTCACTCCTCCTCTCTGAGGAATAATTCTTCATGCAGCCAGAGCTAGCCATCCTGACTTCCTCCATGCACTTCTCGCATCATTGAGACTTTAGAGCCACCATAATGAGATGACGAGAGGGAGGAGAGAGAGCTGAGTAGATATTCCTACATTTCCTCCCTACATAGTCTCACTCAAGCTGTAAGTGACTCTTCTACCCGAAGGAAACCCACAGCTTAGAGAGCTTCAGATTCGGGAGGGCAAGAGAAGCAAGCTCCCAGAGTGTCCTCCATATTCACAGAGCATTCTACAAGGCAGCACCTCTACACTGAACGCATTCCCAAAGTCCTTTGTTAGGAAAGTCTTTAAGCCACTACCATTAAGGTACCTCTTCTAGCCTCCAGTAGCCATGCCAACTGCACATGGCAAAAAAAAATCTGCTCAAGGTTTCTCCTTGACTCTATTAGCAGGGATTTGCTATTTTTAATCCCTCCTCTATTGTTGATATTTCTGGCCGAAGAACAAGGGGGGAATAGGAAGGTGGCTAGACAAAGCACTTACATTTGGCAGACAAGTCAATTTCTGTTTCACCAAGAGGATGAGACTGCAAAACACAATTTATCTTGGTAGAAGCACAAAATGCCTCCACTCACTGAGACCAGATGACTTGCTCAGCATGTTAGAATGATGTATCTTGCAATGACAATGGTAAGTACACAAAACCAATACAGTGAAAGAAAAGAATATTTCTTTTCATTTCTAACTCGATGCAATATTACACTTTGCCTAAAGCACACTTGCATGTGTTCTCGTGTGTGCAAATGAAAGTGTGAATATCTGTGTACCTGTGCAAATGAACAGATAGTCCAGTTAAGCCCCATCATCAGGACTGGATAATGAGTCAATATTTTTCTGTAAATGCTAACATTCTTATTCAAATAATACTCTATGCATTGTACACTGCACTGACTCATCTATAAAACTCCTACCCATAAGCATGTACCAATTGTCTGCAGAAGCACAACACAGCAAAAGATCACTGGGTTAGGATTTAGAAGACCTAGGTTTAAGGACTGGCCATACTGTTTATTATTACTGTAAACTCTCCAGGACTCAGTTTTGTCATATGGAGAAAAATCTGAGTCCAACCTGGTTTCTTTGGAAGGTTTTGGGGAAAAAATGAGAGACTGACAGTTTACTATGCACAGTAGGACCAGGTCCCAGCCCTCACCTTTCCCTCCTGCCTCATCCCACACACCTTTCCTAACCAGAGTAAGACTCAAACAGAAGGCTACCCCATAGAGATGGCCATCAGACCAGGGAGGAGGCAGCCACTTCATTCATGGCTCTGCTAATGTTCAATATATAAGTGTGAGGGCAAAATTAAATAATACAACATTCACCCCCACTATACTATACTCCTAGATCTTATGCTGATTCTGGGTTCCCTGCTTCCTCTCCCCTTGGCCCCACCTTTAGCAGAGCTACTGACAAGTGTGAACAAATGTTCACATTTTCCACTCTAGGTAATTCCTACCCTCCCCAACCCACTCAACCACCTCATAACCTTAGGCCAGTATCTCTCTCTTCCTGTTAAACCAGATCTTGGTACCTAACTCAGAGCAGTGCTCTGCAGAATGGGCCACAGGACAGGAAGCAACAAGGACGAAGCAAGACCCAGCCCCATCACCCCCAGCTGCTGCTTCTTACCCTCCACAACGCCCACACCCACACTGCTCCTCCGTGTGTTCATTGGGGCCACAAAGAACCACTCGTTGGTCTTGTAGCTGTAGGCTTCCACCGATGCCAGGCCTGGAGACAACAGACTAGTGAGATTTCCACGCTGCCCTGCCCCTACCTGCTGAGTGAAAAATATCTGTAGTGAGGTGGGGAAAGGGTACACACTTGGGGCTGCAGATTTAGACAGATGGTGCAGAGCCATCTTTACCTCATCCAGTGGCCTGTAGCAACTCCTGGGACACACCCACAAGGTCTACCTAGGGTATCACTAAGGCTTGAAGGGGGTGTGCCTGAACTGCACTGCAAATGCAAATTGCTAAATCCCCACAATAAATACTCTGGTTCCAAGTACACACCTAAAGCTCCAAGGCTTTTTCTGTGCCTTCTATTGCCTTTGCATCTGGAAAGCTGAAAACTTGCTTTCCACAGTTTCCTTGCAATGGGGGTGACCAAGTCTATGAGACCTAAGCCAAAATCTGATGGGGAGTTACAAAACAGCCTTCACTTTTCTCATATAGGTACCATGCTTCCCCACTTCTTGCTATCTGGAGAACCAGTGTGTTGGCTGGAGTTATAATAGCCATACTGTGATTATGAGGAAAAGACCAAAAGAATCTTAAAGAACTTAACTCTCATATCCTTAAGCAATTAGATCAAGTCAGAAACTGTTGACATCTACTTTTCTTATTCATTATTAAAATAAAACCCCTCATTTTTATTGCCATGGTTCAGTCAGCCTTTCTACTTATAGCCAAAAACAAGCTTCAAACAAAACAATGCACTACCCTTTCATTTTCTTTATTCCCAGGTCCTGTTGAATAAACACAAACTCCCCAGCAGCTAACAGTCATGGATTCAGCAAAGGAAAAAAAAAAGAAAGCCATAAAATATCATTAAATTGTGAAGACACAAATGAAAATTCAGGGAAGTAAAAAATATTGTCTTTGCCACCCTTGGGGCAAAAGAATACCATTTTACATTTTATAATGGAGTTACAATCTATAGAGATATCTACCCAGAAGCAGAGTAGCAAGGAAACCATCTCTCCGAGTCCATGTCCACTAATCTCACACTTGGACTCTGAGAAGCCTGACAGAATCCAGGCAGGATGCCCCCTGAGGCAGACACTTCTTAGGCCCAGGGGCAGCAGAAAGGACAAAGTCATGATGGATAGTTTTGTCCAAGGAGTGGCCTGTGCTGGGCCTCTTCCTACTGCTGAGCCCAGTCTCCTTGTCTGCTCCATAGAGGGTGCAGACAAGAGTCCCCAGGTGCCTTGCAGCTGAGCATGCTGTCCTTCTAAGGCTCATGCTCTGAGAAATCAGGCTGCCAGACACTGGAAAGCAGGAAAGGGTCTTTCTGAGTATGGTCCTTCCCAGAGCCCACTCACTGGACAGTTGCTGTATCCAAAATCTGGATGAGGAAAAAGAAGGATCTAGAATGGCCATGTGCTAGGTTTGGTCCTCAGGGAGGTGCTTTTGGGTGGTGGTAGAGCCTGTGGGAGAAGGGAGCTTTGGGAAAGCCCTTAAGTCACTGGGAGTGTCCTTGAAGGGAATGCTGGCATCCCAGACTCTTCCTCTTCTCCTTTGCCTTCTTCCTTGTGCAGTGAGCAGGTGTGCTCTATCCTGCACTCCCATGATAGTGTGCAGCCTTGAAACTGGTCCATAGCAAGGGAACTAATCAATCATTGACTGCAAGCCAAAAGAAACCTCTTCTGTTCATAAGTTAACTATCTCTACTCCTTCCTTATAATGACTAAAACCAGCTAATAAAGATAGGGATGTTTCTGGGCTACACATAGACACCAGCTGGTCAGAGAACAGGCAAAACAGGCTGTGTGGAGGGTGCATTATAGACTGGGAGAGAGAGAACACATCCCAGACCTACCGGTGCTGCCGTCAAAGCCGCCCACTGCGTAGAGCAGATCATTGAGCACCGCCGCGCCCAGGGTGCTCCGGCGCTCCTGCATGCTGGCGATAGATGTCCACTGGTCCTTCACACCATCATACACATCCACTGTCCTCACCCGCAGCGAGCCATTAAACCCACCCACGGCATACACATGGCCAGCCATGAACACCACACCTGAGGCACAGGAAACCAAGGCCCCAAGGTCAGGTCAGGTGAGTGAGTACCTATGCTGACAGATACCAACAGGGGAGTAAGGCAGGCACACGAGTTACTCACCACAAATATAACATGCAACTTTATATATATTTACATATGTGGAAGTCACTACGGCACTCACTGGATTTCTTTTCCTATGTGCTTTTCTAATTTTGATTAATTTAAGCAAATGCATGAATTAGCTTGGACTTTCAACCCCATAAGAAGTGACCTCAGAAGGGGCAGCCAAGAACTGTGCCAGAAGGGAAGGGAAAGGAGCCTGCAACATACAAATGTCTGAAGAAAGGGGCAGCAGTATGTGACTTCCCATGGAGCAAAGCCTAGGCAGGGAAATGGAGCTCCAGAGCTGAGGGCAGTACTGCTCACCTGCTCTGCATCTCCTGGAAGGAAGTTCAGCAATCTGGTCCCACCGGTCCTCCTCAAAATCATAGCACTCCACACTGCGGATCGCCTTGGGCGCCTGGCCACCAACCACAATCATGACCTCCAGAAAGACAAGCAGACATTAGCTGGATCTTGCTGGTATCCAATGGATGAACAGTGCTCAGCTTTTCAATTAGAGTAATGGCCAGGCTTTTTGGGTCATCTCCTAGCTTTCAGAGTGTATGGAGACACTGTTCCTAGTCACCAAAAGAGAAAAATAGTCAAGAAAAGCCTTCCCACAGAAATAGAATCAGAAGATCTTTGTTGCCCAAAGACCACTCAGGGTGATGTGGGTAAATGAAGCCACTTAAGTCATCTTCTCCAATCTCAAGTACCATCAAGAACTTGGGAAGGTAAATTTTATATCAAAATAGACTTGACTGTAGTTTGTAAAACAGTGCAGAAATTTGGATGCATTTTTAATATGAAATTGCTATTCAAAAATATCTTTAAATGCCTGGACTACAGTCACTTTTATTCACTGCAGTACAGGCAAAAAAAAAAAAAAAAAAAAAATTGTGAAGCAGTGCTCTAGGGCAGTTATCATAAAATTTATTTAACAGATAATGCTCTGAAAACTAGTGCTGATGGCATTATGTCCACAAGTAAGGTAGTACTACCACTGTTAGACATCATGTGAGGTGTATTGTCACTTGCCTGTCACCACAACCCCATGAGGTAGAAATTATCCTTCACATTAACAGATAAGAAAAGCAATGTTCAGAGAACATATGTAAATGGCACAAAGCCACCCAACTAAAAGTGAGACATTATCCTCCATACAGAAAGAGAGAACCATAACTGACCATCATTGCTCAACACAAATCATTGATGCCCCAGGACTCCAGAGCCATGTTCACCCAGTGCCCATGTGGGTGGTCACTTATCATCAGAGTGCACAGTACCTACAGCTAAATGTGGCTTGCAAAATGTTCACATCTCAGAAATCAGTTGTGACTTCTAAAGGGTTCCAAAGAAACCCAGGCCATGGGCCAGGCTTGAGCTGCTGCTGCTTCCAGAAATAAATATTCTGCATTTGTCCTCCCGCATGCCTCGGCTCACAGTGTCCCTGCTCTGTGTCAAAAGCAGCCTTTTTCAGAGAAAATCTGGATTCTACATTATTTCCCATCAGTGGTTCTCTGGGTAGGTAGCAGCCATGAACACCAGACGGATGCAACACAATCTTTTGGAAAACTTCACACAATGCCCAACTTACACCTCCACGGCAGAAAGTTTTGCCCTATGTTCATAAACATGGTGTCTTGGTTTTAAGCTGGTAAACCTATACTGAAGGCAAGATATTACCAAGGTTTTCTTTAAAATATTTTTAGAGCCAACTGAGAATGAAACTAGTCTTGTTTTGTTTTTTCTTTCTGCAAGGACTTCAGGTACCGCACATCTCTGCACACACCATTCCTTGTACTTCAGATGTGCTTCCCTCTCTGATTCCTGGGCTTTAACATCTGCTTCTCTTTCAGGTCCTGGTTCACCCGTCATTTCCTCTGAGAGGTGTTCTCTGACCTATGTGTCTGAGTTGTATGTCCTTCTCTGGAGCTCTCAGCGGCTCGGTGTGCTCCACATTGTGCTCTGGCCATCTGGGAACTCGTCCGTCTTTCTGTCTACACAGTGGGCCCTACCAGGGCAGCAAATTTACCTGCCTCAGTCATAAAGATAACCCTAAGTCCTCCTGTTGCCAGGTAAAACTGAGGACTCAAATGTTTGCTTGGAATAAAGAATGAGAGAATTAAAAACAAATAGCACATGCAAGGAGTTACGCAGAAAAAAAATGCATGGTTAAATGGAAAAAAAAAACCTGAAATGTCACTTTCCTCAATTAAGAAATGTTGGAATATCAGATTACAATTTTGGCAACATTAAGTAAAACAAACAACAGAAGGAACAAAAAAAAAGCAAGGGATTTTTCTATCTTTTGACACAATTACCAGAAAAAAATAAAGCTTTGTTTATTTCTTGTGCAAGCTATCAAATTTCTTCTGTAAATTACAAAATAAAATAAAATAAAATAAAAACTAAAGCTTCCAGGGAACCTAATTATGTTCCCCAAACTATCTTCTACTAGAGGTGGGGAACACATATTCATATCAGGCATATCCACCACTTGCCCCTGAGAAATTTCATACTAACAGAAGAACATTATTACAAAAATGGAAAAGTATTATGTTAAAATAAAATCTGAGTGTAAAGACAAAAATAATACAGGACAAGGTTTTCAAAACAAATGTGTCTTTGAGCTCAATAAAGCCACTGGTGAGAAATTACTTTTAACATTCAAACATGGAACAAGCTGAGAAGAGAAATTATAAGGTTTTGTGGGTGGAGAGCAGAGTTCTGAAAGTAGCTTGGGGAGCAACGAGGAACAAGTGTACATTCTGCTCCTCTCATAACCATAGAAACTCAATTTTTATTGCAATTCTTGTTAGAAGCCACCATGGAGGGAGCAGTGCATCCACCACTGTATTTGTCATGCAAAGCAAAAAGAATAAATCTATCTTGAATACTACAGAGTCGTTTCCATAGATACTTGATCTTAACAACTAATTAGGCAAATAACTGTATTCCAAAGTCTACATGTATTACAGCTCTGAAATTACACAGTGCCAGCTACGTCAGAAAACCACAGGATGTTAGAGCAAGGAGAGTCCTGAACCTTTCTTTCCTATAAGCCCTCACTTTACATTACATAGGCCAGGAAGTTCAACAGGCATATTCTTTTCTTTCCCAAACAATCCTAAACTCCAATTTACTAACGACTTGACACGTTTAATAGAAACTATGAAATCAGATCAGCTTATTAAACAATCACCATTTTGTGTTAAAGGAGTAGAGTCTCACTATGTTGCCTTGGCTGACTCTAAACTCATGAGTTCAAACAACCCTCCTTCAGCCCCCTGAGTATCTGGTCCTATAGGGACATGCCACCATGGCTGGCACTGATCTCCTTTGTAACATTCATCATTCTGGGTAATCTTGGGTAAGAAAGATTGGCCACGCAGGAATCACAGTAAACTAAAAGGTGGTTCCAGGCTAACAATGCTAGACTGAGTGTCATTTTTCACTTCCAAGGACCCTCACTGTAGTTGGAAGTCTTGCAGGACAAGTCATGGTCCCAATCTTGGGTCTCAACTGTCATGGTACATAAGGCTGCAGAAGTTCTGGAGACTAGAATATTCTGGTTGACAAAGGATAAGGGAACCAACTTTCTTGTGGAGGTACTTTTCACTTTGGAAGGTCAAATAACAGTCACTTTAGAGAGGCCAGTGAGACCATAGAAATATATCCTGTTTTCTTAGGAAAGAAATTTCCAGCATAACAAGTTTTAAGTACATTTATGATGCTCTCTCTTTCCCATAGATTCAATTCCACTCTTGTAACTGTGGTGTTCAAAGCAGGTTGCATCCTCCTCATTGCAATGACACAGCCCTGTGCCTGAGAGCTGTTAGGTAGCAGAGACTTGACAAAGAAAGAGAGCGCTGGTCAACAGAACAAAGCTTTCTAGCCAACATATATGCATGGAGACCCTAATTCAGCCTCAGGGCCACTGGACTCTCCAGTGACAGGAACACTGGGCTCTGCATACTTTCTTCATGGGGAAAGAGTAGAGTGTGTCCAAACTTTCTTCCATGACCAGTGAACTGGGCAGAAAGCAGGCCCAGCCAGTCGGTCCCTCGGGCCAGGGCAGGAAGCGAGTCTCTCTTACCCTGGTGCGTGGGGCCGCAGGGCTAACACCAAAAATTCATCCAAAGGAGTGAGTCGAGGTCGAGCCAGAAGACTTGTCCAAGCAGGTTCTTGAGCAACAGGTGCTCCTGGCAAGTATTAACAGACATAGTGGAGAAACAACTGGGGTTTGAAAACCAGAAAATATGAGGGCAAAGCTCCACAACAGAATAGAGGAATAGAAAAAAAGTTGGCTTGAGAGTCAGAAACATCCGAGCTCAAATATCAACCCGGTCACTGCTTAGCTATGTGACCAGAGGCAATATTACCTTTCTAAGCCTCATTTTCATCACCTTTAGTAGCAAGTGCCTGGCTTTTTCTCATAGTGCCAGGAAATCTAAGTGGTGAAAAGCATTTATCATGATTCATGGTGAACAGTAAGCACTAAATGTTAACTTACATTGTTTAAAACAGTTGCCAATAAATAAATAAATGAATAATTAAACCTGATAAATAGAACACAAATTTTTGAATAGGAAGATAAGTACCACTAATTCTAGGGATGAAAACAGAGCTTCTTCAGACTCCCAGAGTGTCTGCCAGGAAGCGGACCATGTTGAAGAGAAGCCATGCCCACAGAAGGACCTGGCTAGGATGAGGTCATCCTACCCACCTGCCAGCAGCCTTTGCTTCCAAATCAACTACTGAATATAAGACAGCCCAGTTCTGGAGCAAACTGCCCTCTTCTAGCCCACATGGATCTTTCAGTGTCAATTTTTAACAATTGAATAGAAATGACAACTGAACTGGAATGACAATGAAAAATGTCAGGTCCAGTACATTTCCAAAAGGCTCATTTGCATCTTCCTGGAATCTCGCTTCTCTGCTATCATCTGAGAACAGGGCAATGTAGGAGGGCTCTGAGTGAATGAGAGGCAGCCTCTGGTTGTCCGTGGCAACCCAGCATCAGAGGAGTGCTGGGAGGTACATGTGTGGGAGCCAAGATGATGCTATTAGCTGTTCCTGCTTGAAAGTGTCAGTATGATCTGTGCAACCCAGCCCAGGAAAAACACCCCTACTTCCCTGGCAACTATCTCAAGCAGAATCCGACTCTTTTCAGGGGAGGGACTGGCTGATAATGGATTCACTGCTGAGAACTGCTCTGCAGAGTGCAAATCTCCACTTCATTTCTCACAGTTTGCTCAGTCAGAAAGCCTATCTTGACTGAATTCATGGAAGCCCACACCAACCTGCCCTTGGATTTCCTGTGCCTGTTCCTCCATCTAGTCACTCCAGCGACCTGCTAAGTGCTCCTCTTCCTCTATTTATATGGTCACTGAAAAAGTCCAATCCTACCTTCTCAAGAGAGTTTTCTTAAAATTAAAA